TAAAGCCACTTGAAATTAGCTTATGAGCATTATCTCACTTTCTCCCCCATGACTTTTGGTCTTTGCGTCTATGAATTCATTAATATCTCATGCTACTTTTAAAAAATCATAGTTACTAATTCACCATAGTTACTAATAAAATTTTATCTTATATATATATATATATATATATATATATATATATATATATTCCAAACTAAATAGCATTCTAACTCCACATTTTAATAGCAAAATATGATGACCACTGACCTCCAGTATACTAATTCTTTTTAATAATTGTTTATTTGTTTAACAGTAGTTAATATAAATGATAATTGTAAAATTTAACAAAATCAATATTAAAAGCATCACTTTGTTGATAGGGGAAAGTAGTAACACCTCTAACAAAGGGACCAAATAATTATCACTTAATTAAATGTGTGATTACTTTTTTTTATTTATTTATTTTTTGAAAATAAAGAAGCTCATTCATCTAATCATAAGCTGAAGCGATTACAAATAGGATCGATAGAACGGTATACCATTTGCCATTCCTTACTTTCCGACATAGAACCAACTTCCCTAGAAATGCTACAAAGAACTTGAATCGCAGACTGTTTCACAAATTTGAAGCTGAATTCGATAGATGAATTTAACGCTTCTTTAATATCATCGAAGAATTGATCAAACGTAGTCAAGACTAATTTTGGTTGAAAAGTCTTGTACACCACTTGAGTATATGTTTTCCATCTGTCGTTCATTGACAATATATCCATCGAGCTGAGATGCAGATGCTCTTTTACATTGTCATCTTTGTCACCCAGGATGAAGCTCATCACATACGCCATGACCAACTTATATGTTTCACACTTATGAAGAAAAGAACTCGCCAAAAGCAACGAGTGGAAAACAAACTCGCCAAAAGAAACGAGAGGAAAACAAATTTGTCACACAAACGAGAGAAAAACATAGAAAAAAAGCAGAACATAAAAGAAAAGAGAAGCAGCAGTACACCTCTTGAACTTTACAGATCCACGGGAATCAAACAACTTCTTTATCCAGATCTGGCGGAATCCTTAAGCTTTAGATCTTTGGAACTACCGCAACTTCCTTGAAGGGTTGGTGGCTGAATCGGCACTGAACTTTATTATGAAACTAAAAAAAAATAAAAAACAAAAGAAAATAGGAGACCGCTGGCCAAGAAACGAAGCTCTGTCAAATGCTCAAAGCTTCGGCTAGGGGTCGGCGACCACCAGATGAAGAAACGCCCAAAAAACAAGCAATATTTCTTGAGACAGAAAGAGAGGTTTTGAGAGAATTAGGGTTTCTTGCCATGGAATTTACTTTTATTTAATTCTAATTTCTAAGAATACGTGTACACATTGTATTTCTCTACCAAGGTTGAAAATCTCGCTATTTCCGTCCAACAAAAATGTTGGTCGGTAATTTGTAAAAAAATTAAAATTTTTTATCACAAATAGGGATGTTAATTGTATCTGTACCCGACGGCGAATTCGATTCCCCGCCCCTACTGGGACAGGGATGGGGACAGAAATAGGGGATCGGAGATGAGGATGGGGGCAATTTTGAATTTCCCGCCAGGGACGGGGGCGGGGATGGGGAGTACTCTCCCCACCCCGCCCCGTCCCTTATATATATATATATATATATATATATATATATATATATATATATATATATATATATACACACACACACACACACACACACACACATATATATATATATATATATATATATATATATATATATATGTATATGTATGTATGTATGTATGTATGTATGTATAGCCACACAACACACACATATGTATTACTTTGTATATAATATATATAAAAGTTAATTCCATTTTTAGTTCTAGATTTATATGTGACAGACCACTTTTAGTCCCTTTTTATCAAAATATCCTATTTTGGTCCTAGTGTTATTGTGACATGACCAATTTTGGTCTTCTATCAACAAAATTGTTGAAATTTCGTTAAATAGAAGGACATTTTGATCTTTTTAATACAAAGTGCGTTGACTCGTTATATATTTTATTTTTTTTAAAAATTCATAACTGAAGAGCCAAATGCTCTTGTATTTAACACAATTTCAATGATTTTTTAATAGAGGACCAAAATTAATCATGTTACAATAATACTATGACCAAAAAGGGATGTTCTGATAAAAAGGGACTAAAAGTGGACTGCCACCTATAAATCTAGGACTAAAAGTTTTAGAAGCATTCTTGTCATTGTATGTCATGCTTATGAAATGCATATTTAGATAACATGTTTAATTGTAAAATATTGAATACTACTTTAATTTGGGGATGAATATATATGCGTTATTTAGTTAAATATTTTTTAATGTTTAATTTTTTATTTTTTTTATAACTTATAAATGGGGTGGGGATTCCCCGTCCCCGAATAATCCCCGTGGGGATGGGGGATTTTTCCCTTCCCCAGCGAGGACGGGGACGGGGACAGGGAATGGGAAGAAAGTCGGGGGCGAGATGGGGTCCATCCAACGTGTTACTATTAGACATATAACTTCACCACTAAAGCCATTTCGAAGATAAATCACGAGTCAAACAAACTCCCATTTTCTAAAAATATGAATTAATCCCATTTGTCTTTCACAATCACTAAATCACAATTATAATGGGATTGAGTCTAACTAATTTTCCCTTATTCATTATTACATATATACAAGTGTTCAACGGCATTCACTATTACTGCATATATATATATATATATATATATATATATATATATATATATATATATATATATATATATATATAAATGATGGATTTAATTAAACCGGGGGTCCGACTTAACTAACCCCGAATAAGGATACGAATAATAAATAAATGATACGAATGATATAGTAAAGGCCGTAAGACCGTAGATTGTATTAAATGCCGTAGAATTGGCTATTACAGTAGTATTCTAGGACAAAGTATGTAGGAAATGTAAAGCGTGTCCTAACTAGACAAGGTGGGGGGTTTTTATACAACCCCCGCCCCTAACCGCCACCCCCTAAAGCGGGGAGTGGTTAGATCCGAGTTGACCGCGTTCGATCTCGCGACCGGGCCGTGCTGTGGGGCCAGGCCGAGCCCGTCATGGGCTCGGGCCGGGCCCATTTGGAGGTCGGCCCGGCCTCCTGGAGAGGCCGGCCTGGCCTCCGACGTGGCCCGTGCGGGGGCCACGTGGCGAGGCCCCGTCCAGGGCGGGTACGTGGCGCCGCCCCGGGACCCGTTCTTGTCCGCGCCCTCGGGTCGGTTCCTAATATATCTGTCAATAAATATAAACGTGTTCAAGTCGGAAGGAAATATTAGAAGTACACTGTGTCTGTCAATAATCCCTTCCTTTCTTGATCAATGGATATTGAAAGTGTGTTTAGGGCTACGTTCGGCATCAAGAAAGAGTAAGATATGGTGGGGTTGATCGAAGCTGCAGTGAACGTTGCGGCTTTGATTGTCCCTGACAAGCTTAAGAAGCATAGAAGCATAATCGTGAAGTTGTTGTTTGATGAGGATCCAGCTAATTTAACTCATGACTTGTTTTCCGAAGATGATTTGGGTTTTGACTCTGAAGACGATGATGAATTATTGAAGGTTACTTCTACGCCTGTAAAGAATCTTTACATCCCCGGAATCAGGGAAATCTATCTTCCTCAAATCTGCAAGTACCTTGAAGAAAAAGAAGAAGAAGCGGAAAAGAAGGCGGCCAAGAAGAGGAAGATAGATTTCCCTGAACCTAAGAAGCATTGCTGCCACGGTCGCAGTAAGGCCAAGCCTCCCGTGCGGTCATGTCCGACAACTGTATGCAACTATCAAGAATGATTGAAAGCCCAACGTAGTAAGCCAAAGCCAAAGTCCAAATATTAATATTGTAGCCAGCCAAACTAAACTCTGTAATCTAAGAACTATGTTTTGCTTGATCCCAGAATTCAACAATATCAAAACCTGGGTACGTAGGCAGCCTTGATAGTTTATTACAAGGTTCAGCTGCGATTTTAATCATTTTTTATACGTGACATCAATGTAGGCTGATTTATTCTTTTATTTATTATTAATATTCACCTTTCTTAATTATATTATCTAAAGATTTCGTTCGTTCATGAGGCGCTTGCTCCTCAAAATATTCATGTTTTGGGTTGCTCTGATTGCCATTTCCTTTCTTCAAATTGCCACTGAGCTTCGAAAGCCTGAGCTCTTTGGCTTGAATCCGTATTTCAATTTCAATTTCAATTTCACCTTACTTCCCAATCCCATATACATTCCTCTGTTTGGGATGTCTCTTGCTTTGTGCATAGAGAACAAAAATTTGACAAATTAAAGAATGTGTTTATCGAGGTGATTGGGAATGGTTTCTTGGATTCAAATGTTAAGGCGTTTTGTGTTAGGGAATTGAAGGAGCTGATGCAACCGTGTTGGTATTACATGAACTAGGATTCTCTAATGTTTTTAGCATCAATGTAATGTCGTCTTTCTCCTTTATGAGGAAGAAATTTGTGTATGACATAGAGTTTGAGGATAATTATTTCGATTTTGTGTTCTCTAGAGCTTTTGATAGAGTTTCTGTGCCAGTTCTTGTGCTGGAAATGGAGCTATTAAAACAATGCTAAAACCTCTTTACCCTATTTTCCACTAGGATGTTTTCGTCATTGATCACAATACCTTTGCCTTTTCTTTGTATGTAAAGACTCCCGGTGTCACATTTGTTTATCATCCAACACTGTCAGGAAAAGAGATTTCTTTGCCCAGTGATGATGAGGAATTTGTTGGTGCACCAATGGATGAAGAAAAAGGGTTTGATTTTGATCAGTGGTTGGAAGAAACTGTAAGCGAGGGAGACTTTGTTGTCCTCATGATGAATGCTAAAGGAAGCAGAGTTGCAGATTCTTTGTGACTTGTTTAAAACTAGATTGATCTGTCGTGTTGATGAACTCTTCCTTCATTGCTCATACACTGCAGAAGGGAAACATGGCGGGCAGGGAGACTGCACCAGATATATATCTTAACCCAACTTCTTGCTTCAGTTTTGTTGGGTAGGGGTTGGTGAAAAGCCAAGTCCAGCACCGGGTGGCATCCTAATAAGTTTATTGTGAGAAATAATGTGAGGGATATAATGCAGGGATTCAATATGTAATGTAGCACCCTCTTCTGTTGAAGTGTATCTCATATAGTACTCAAAAGTTGGTGTGTGTGTGTGTGTAAGTTCCTTGATCTTACATGCTGTAAACCTGCAATTAATATTGTGTATTGCTATTTTCAGTATTTTGATGTTTTTGGCATAACTGGTCACATGTTGTGTTTGGTGCAATCACAGGTATCTCTGCCCATGAATTATAAGTAGCAGCTACTTCATTCTACTTAGTGATGACGACAAGTTATACCATGGACTTGCATTTTATATCTTGGTTCAAAAATGACATTCAAATTATGTATATGCAGTCAATATATTAGAGTTAATTCCAGCAAAGGTCCTCCGATTATTGCGATTTTCCAAATTTAGTCCTCGTCTTTTAATTTGGACGAATTAAACCCTTGACTATCAAAACTGTTCCTCCATTAGTCCTTCTGTGAAACTGACGTTATTTTGCTGTTTAAATCAGGGGTAAAACAGTCTTTTCATTTGCTTTTTGTCTTCTTTCACTTCCTGGAGGAATATATATGCCGATAATGCATAGTCTTCAACCTAAAACTCCATAGTTTTTCTTCTTAGTTAGGTTTCTTCTCGTCATTTCTCCATTCTTCAACTTCAGAATTAGTCAGTCCAACAGTTTTCTTATAAACACTAAGTCTGACAAAAAATCTAAGCAAAAATACATACATACTAACAACATGCGAGCTTTCAAGTCTTCGCCTGGCCTCCACCATCTTTAATTTCAATCAAAATGATCTTTTCCACTTAGTTGTAGAGTTGTTCTAAACCATTTTCTGGTCGAGTCGTCATAGACTCTACTAGCTTTTTTACTAAATTGTAAACACCTGCAATTTTCTGCACTCAAGTCTATATTCTTGTTGGACCCTTGACCTTGCAAGAACCTATAATACGTAAAGCCGTGTTGGTCCTCTTCTTCCTCATTTTTGTCCTGTAATATGTTGAAACAATGGATCCGATGACTTCTTTTCTGCCCCCTTTAATGGCTGAACAAGAAATCAAGAACAAAAACTAGTTAAATAGATGAACACGCATCTAATATTTCACTCCCTATATTATACAGAAAAAGATTTCATCGCATAAAATAATCCGATTTCAACACTGTAATCTGTAAAAATGGAAGTGGTAAAGACGGATGATGACAGAGCGAGGGGGATTGTCCTAAAGTATGATCCCAAATGTGCACAAGGCGATAGCTTTAGGCTCAAAATGATCTTCCGACGTTGCCGGAGTGAAATCGTGAATATCTCTGGGCTGTAGACTACATAATTCAGCAGTTCATGCAAAGCTGGAGCTGGGAAGCTGGGACTGTTCGGCGGCAGCTCTTGGACGAGTTCGAAACCATGCTCAATCATGTTCTCAGCACCAAACAAACCGTTTCAGCCAGTCCCACTACATATTCTTTTACCACACGTAGCTATTCTCTTGGTTTCTGCTTTGAAATTGATCCCACAAGCTTGGTCCTGGATGATCTCCGGTCCATTGCGCGGGGGCTAAGGTCGATTGGATGCCTCCGTGACTGTCAGGAAATCTACAGCACCATTTGCGAGACGTTTTCCGATGCCACTTTAACACGATTAGGCATTGCGAAGTTGAGTGCGGTGATGTGCAGAGAATGGTATGGCAAGAAATGGAGGAAGAAGACACTAAGTATATGAAAAGACTGTTTTACCCCTGATTTAAACAACAAAATAACGTTAGTTTCACGGCAGGACTAAAGAAGGAATGTTTTTGATAGTCAAGGGTTTAATTCGTCCAAATTAAAAGACGAGGACTAAATTTGAAAAATGACAATAGTCGGAGGACCTTTGCTGGAATTAACTCCAATATATTATATACATTGACTATCTGCAATTAATAAATTAGGTGCCTATTACAATTAACATATTATGTACATGCAACTAAGGCTGTGTTTGGAAACCCGGAAAATGATTTCTGGAAATCATTTTCCGAGTTTCTCATGTTTGGATGGGATTGGAAAACCCAGCCAACGGAAAATATTTTTCGTTGATTGGGGAAAACCACGCCATTTTGGCGGAAAATGACTTCCGTCAAACATACTGTAACACCCGTAATTTTACCCTTTAAACCCGAATTAATTATTTAATTAATTTCGTAAGGAGTAGCTAAAAAGGATTTAATTCGGCCGGGATCCCTTAATTAATTGGTATGGTCCATGGTGGACCGTGGACCCTTGTCTGTATTTAAGCCTTTAAACCCGTTAGAATAAAGAAGGTAGGCCCAATACTATTTAGATTCTCATTAGGAATCTTAAACCTTTTTAAGAGGAACCAGGGATCAATTAGAACCCTTCTCACCCATCCCTCTCCCTCTCACTCGAAAATACCCCCCCCCCCTCCCCCCCCAAAAAAAAAAAGATAGTCAAAGAATTCTCCATCACCAAGCCTAGGAAAGATCGATGGGAAAGAACCTTGAGGAAGAATCTTAGGAGTCGTAAGAAGTTTAATTAAGCTAAAAGGTAACTCATGTCTTACAAAACTTATTTTTCTTGCTATTTTATGATTTATTGGCCTCCTTGAATGATGGTATGTGTGATCTTTTGATTATGCATTGATAGAGCTTGTATTTAGGGTTTGTATGGTGGTTTCTTGATATTCTTGATGTTCTTGAACAATTATATGCGTACTCTTGTGTTTGGGCATGTCTAGAGCTTGTGTCTAGGGTTCGTTAATGTAGATTCGATGTGTTATTATGTGTATTTAAGTCCCTATAATTGTTGATGTGAGTTTTGGGTGGGTTCGGACTTGAATTTGGGCAAGATTGGTGAATTCTTGAGGTGGGAAATTAGCCAAGAAGAGTTGTTCCAGAGGGTAGTCGGTGGGGGGACGAACCCCCACCCGACCACCCGCCGGACGACGGGTGACGTTCCAGCGGGTAGCTGGCGGGTAGACGGCCACCCGCCGGACCACCCGCTGGAACAGTGGGCACCGCCGGCGGGTGGTTGTCCACCCGCTGGTACGGTGCGGTGCGGTTTTTGGTCGGCCTCCGTTGGTCGATCCCCGTGCCCCGAAGTGTCCTCCTTGATGTTTGTGAGTCTAGAATGATGTCCTAAGTACCGTAAATAGGATTTGTGAGTCATGTTTATGCGTGAGGTCTAAACTTGTATTGTGTTGGTCCAAAGTATGGTTTATGTTATTCCCCGTAGGTCGTATGTTTAGATTGATGTCACATGTCGTTGTGAGTCTATTTGTATGTTCTTCCCTTTCCTTGGTTACCCCTTGATGAGGTTGTTATTGAGTCTTGAATGTGGTGTTATGTCCATGGGTGATGAAAAGATATGAGATTGGTGGAAAACAATATGTTGGTGGTATGATGCACTGCACGTGCTTATGTTACGGTGTTGCGGTACCTATGCTATGTGCACTACGTGTGCTTAGATTATTGTGCTACGGTACAATCAGGTTTATGTAATGGCACTGCGTGTGCTGAGAGATCGGCGGTATGTTGGAGGTCATGTTAGAGAGGAGCATTGCTCCGGAGGGATAAGGCTGATGGAGTACAAGGTGGTCTGGAGGTACAGGTTAGAACTGATATAAGGTTGGAGCGGCATAAAGGTTGGAACATGGACGTGTCTTATGGTCGTGGTCTATTATTGTGTTTCTTATTGTTGTCTTGTCTTGTGGTCATGGTTTGCATGCTTGTATCGTAATGTGTCGTGTCGTGTCGATGTTAATGATATGTCATGAGTCCTCATCCTGATTTGAAAACTAGAGTTGTTTAGGACTATAATGATGTATTCCCAAGTCTAAAAATGATTTTCTTATATCTATACATATATTGTACTCAACGCGTGCGAATGTGATACTTAGCATTATTCGCTAACGGTTGCTACACCGCATGTTTTTCAGGTACAGATTAGTTGGCTCGTGAGCGCGCTAGACGGAGCTGCAGTTCCTAGTTTAGTTAGTGATTAGCCTTAGTTTGACGACATGTGAGCCATTTTGTATTCGGATGATGTTTATGGATTATGATTAGCTAGTTAGTATCATGTGCATCTAGGTTCTCAAGCTTAGATGTGGCATAACACCCCTACACTATTATGTTTGATTTCCGCTTATTTGGGTATTAATGATAGACTTGCTCTTATTTCGTAAGCTTTAATGGTTTTAAATTATGCTGAAAATCGAGGGTGTTACACATACCACAATGTTTCCGGCGGAAACCTGTGGTCTGGTTTCCGCCCGAAACCTAAAAAAAAAAACTGGTGAGTTCGAGAGAGGAACTTTGGTTTTCGCAACCGGAAACCAGCCAGAGAGAAGTTCTCTCTGGTTTTTTTTTTTTTGTTTTTTTTTTTTTTTGTTTTTTAATTTTTAAACTTTTTAATAATTAATATTATTTGATTTCAAAAAATAAATATTATTATAATTTTTTAATTTTAAACAAAACAATTAATTATATAAAATGTCTAATTATACAATTCTACCTCATTTTTCAGAAAATGAACCAAACACATAAAGACAGTTTTTTGTTGTGCAGCCAAAGACGAGAAAGGAAAATGTTTTCCGAAAAAGCGAAAAATGACTCATTTTTCAAAAAATATTTTCCTGCTTTCCAAACGGACCCTAACTTATTATCTCCCCATCTTCCATCCAACGCGTTCCTTAACTCCTTAATCCAAAAATTCCAATGCTCTTTTTGCCCTTTGTTGTGTAAATGGTGTAACTATAGATAAATATACACAAATTAATTAGTCGTAGTTCACAACTTTACAACCCATAATATGCATAAAATGGAATAAGATGGGGTAAATATAGCCAAATAGTGGTGTTAATAGGGATGACAATTTCAATCCGCCCCACGAATATTCACCCGAATCCACCCTGCATGGATCGGGTTTTTTTTGGGTGATGGTGGGCGGTGGGTCGGGTTTGATTTGGGTTCTATGTACAAAACCCGCCTAGAACCCAACCCGACCCACCATGTGTGTGTGTATATATATATATATATATATATATATATATATATATATATATATATATGTATGTATATATAATATTAAAATAAGTACTAGTATGTAGTTATTTATAAAATTTTATATAACTTCGTGTATCTTTTTACTATTTTATATCTAAACTACTAAGTTTATTTTAAGAAATTAACAATTTAGTTATTATATTTAAATAATTCTATTATTTTATGTTTTAGTATCACTAATGAATTTTATTATTTTATTATGTGTAAGTAATTTAAATATTATTTTTTGAAAAAAATAATAAGATAATAAGTGGTGGGTATCCGTGGTGGGCACTCGCACCCGGTGGGGTGGGGGTGGGTTTTGAAACAGTACACCTGATGCGGGTTGGGGGTGGGGGTGGATGGAGAAAATATAAGGTGGGTTGGGTGATGGATGTAGCCCCGTCCCCCCCCCCCCTCCCCCCCTCCCGATCCACCCCGATCCATTGCAATACTTAGTGGAACCTTCTTGGGTTAAGGGGAAGAGCGGAATAAGAAGTATTTTTTAAATCACTATAAAAAAATTTATGGTGTCTTATTTTTATTTTTATTACTCATTTATTATTTGAAAACTAACCTACTTCATATTTAGTTATTTACACACAATCACGTTAAAATAACAAACCATTTGCTATGATTTTTTTAGACAAGCTTAAGACTTTCGCTTCAAGGAAACATATTTCACTAGCTTTGATTTCATAAACTCAAGCTCACCTAGAGTTGTGTTTAAAAGTTTAAAAGCTATTAAAAAATCTATTATACCCCTCTCCTAGATATTTTACTTGACAAGGACCAACAATATAATTTAGGAAAAAGGTGAAATTGGTCCCTCTAAATCATAATGATAGTGAAATTAAGCACCTAAGTAAAACAACCTTCATTCGACCCCCTAAACCAATTAAAATGTTTAATTGAGTCCTAAACCAACCTATTTGATAGGTTGTTGCTTCTCGTACTGACACGTGTTTGATTTTATTTTATTTTTTAGAAAAATGTAAATATAAGTTTTTTACTTTCTAATTTTCTAAAAAAAAAAATACTTTTGAATTTTTAAATTTAAAATTTTTTCATTATTAATAACACATAATATGATTTTCAACATAAAATGGAAAGAAAATATTTAACAAACATTATATTAAAAAAAAATTGAAACTAATTCCCTTTTAATACAAATTACATATTTCTTCTTATTTGCAAACCCAAACCAAAGTCTTCCTAATCTTAACTTATTTCTACACTTTCAACACTGAGCGCAAATTTCAATTCTCTAAGGGGGCGTTTTGTTCAGGTTATATAAGATAACCAAGGTTATATTTGCTTGGTAATATAAGATTCCTATGTTTGGTTCAGGTTATGTAACTTTCCCAGAGAATGCCAGATAACCTCCGTATTAAATTTTTAGCTATTGGAAGGAAATGTGAGATACCCTCCAATTTCTTAGGTAATCTCACATTCCCTTGTCTTATTACTAATTTTGGGATTTGGACGTTTTAATCAATTTATCTTATTACCGTTGTCTTATTTACATATATTAGTTTTAAACCAAATACAGGAATCTAACCTTCCCAGTAATCTAACATTCCCAGCAATCTAACATTCCCTAAGGTAATCTAACATTCCGTGAACCAAATGTCCCCTAAAAGTCTATATACATATCTTTTTGTTGCATTTGGAGAACAAATTAATGAGTTAATTCCAGCAATAGTCCTCTGAGTATGGTGATTTTCCACAATGGGTCCTTGACTTTTAATTTGGACAATTTAACCACCTGACTATTAAAATTTTTCCAATTGTGGTCCTTCCGCCAAATCCTGGTTAAGTAGACGTCAATTTGAAGGGTAAAAGCGTCTTTTCCCTTACTCAGCGCAAGACCATGGACCTCAGCCACTTTCCTCATGCCCTCTCTTCTCCCTCCCGGCAATTTATATCCTACACCACGACGCGCGTTGCACTATGCGCCCAGATGCAAAACGACGTCGTTTTAATTATTATTTTTTTTTGAAATTTCCCGCCCCAGTGAATGGCAGTAGTTTTTTCTTAAAAAAAAAACCCGCTGTTCAAGAATGTACATAATGTTATACTAGAATACACATAATGTTATACATGAATGTACATAATTATATAACAAAATATACATACTCTTTTTAAAAGATAATACACATAATCTAACATAATACATAATAAACATAAACTTTTAACATAATACACATCAACTCTTAACATAATACACACAAATTTTCTGATTCGGATGTACATAATTGTATAAAAAGAATGTACATAATTGTATAAAAAATACACATAACTGTATGAACCAATACACATAACGTTGTGAACAAATACACATAACATTGTGAACAAATACACATAATCTCAGCAACTTCCTACCGCGCCTCCCAACACTACCCCAAAACGAAGTCGTTTTGGGAGGCGCGCGGCGCACAGTGCTATGTGCGCCGTGGTGTAGGATATAACGATTGCTCCCTCCCCCTTCCATCTTCTCTTCGTCGACGGTGCAACAGAGCAGACCGTATACAGAGGCAGGTGTGAAATCCGCGAATCTTCGGACCCACTTCATCGTATTGACATTCTCCGCTACTTATTCATCAAAAGATGCTGGAGGAGGACGGCTGAGCTGCCGCTGTCGTCGTCACCAAGAACCACACCGTACCGCTGGAAACAGCAGCTGGCGTTCTTGGACAGCGGCATCGACATGGAGGAGCTGCTGCTGTCAATAAGCAAGATAAGCAACGGGCACGAGCTTTACGCTTTGATGTCACCGCACAAAGGTCGAACACTTCTAATGAAGTTCATGGTCACCCTCCTCTCGCGCGAAGCCGATTGGCAACGCTCGCTTGCACTGCTCGACTGGATCAAAGAAGAGGCTCTGTACACTCCATCCATGTTTGCGTACAACGTCATGCTGCGTAACATGCTCTGGGCGAAGCAATGACAGCTCACCTATAGGTTGTTCGATGAAATGCGCCAACGAGGGCTGTCACCCAATAAGTACACTTACTCCACTCTGATCACCCATTTTGGGAAAGAGGGCCTGTTTGACGTGTAAGTATTTTCCCTGTATACAATATATAATATATTGTATTATTGGGTGGTTGTGGTGCAAGTAGGAGATTGAGTCAATTAATGACTTAATCTGTTAAGCAACTTAGGATATTCAGTTTACGATTAACTGAATATCTGCCTACATTGATGGCATGTAGGCTTCTAAGCAAAATAGTCCTCCCACAGCTCCCGTGTTCAGAATACAAGCACCATCGAGTATTCGGGAGAGAAGTGGTAGACAAAACACTAATGTCCATTTTGCAGGTTTACCATATTGGTGCACATATTTTGAATTAAATATTTATTGGTTAAAGTTGTTTAGAGTTGTTAGAGTCCTCAACTTATCTTGTTCTGCTCCACCTATTGTGGTGCTTAGACTAGTTATAAATACTCTTGTATGTTTACGCAGAATAAATATCAGACACTAGTTTAATTCACTTGGTATCAGCCTTACTCTCGATCCTATGGCCAACCCCACCGATGTCACCACCGAGGCAGTAGCCACGACCACCCCCTCGCCGGACGTAGTTACGGTCGCCGATCAGCGACCGCCCAATGCCCTTCACCAGGCTCACCACTACGTATCCCTAAAGTTGACAGCCACGAACTGCTTATTCTGGAGAGCGCAGCTAGTGCCGTTCCTACGAGGCCAAAATCTTTTTGGGTTTGTCGATGGTACCAACGCCTGCCCGCCGGAGTTCGTTGCCGCCACCACCTCGACGGCGACTCCAACGGTGAATCCTCTTCATGTCGCCTGGGTCCAGCAAGATCAATCAATCTTGAGCATGCTGTTTTCCTCGTTCTCGGAGGAAGTTCTTTACCTGGCGATCGGACACTCCACGTCCAGAGGTGTCTGGGTTGCGGCAGAGACGGCTCTGGGCTCTACTTCCCGTTCTCGTACGTTGAGTTTACTAACTCAGTTGCAGGGGCTTCAACAAGGTGACTCCACACCTTCTCAATATTTGGGGCGGGCACAGGTTCTGATAGAACAACTTGCGCAAGCCGGCCGTCCTCTTGGTCTGGATGAGCAGAATCTGCACATCTTCAGGGGGCTTAGACCGGAATACCGGTCACTGGTGGCGTCCCTAACCACTAAGTCTGCTCCGCTTACCATTCCAGCGGTGGCGGATCTTCTCAACACTCACAGCTATCTATTTCCTGAAGACACACTACAGCATGCTCCATCTCCGGCTGTCGCGATGGTAGCACATCAACCGTCGACTTCCAGAAGCCAGTCCGAAGGCGGAAGAGGGCGTGGACGCAACCACCGTGGCCAGCGTGGTAGAGGACAACGGGGGCGCGGTGGCATACGCTGTCAGATATGTGACATACCTGGTCACACCGCTCTCACTTGCTACCGGCGGTTCGAGGATTTTGGCGGTCCACGTCCTGCACATCCGCCACCTCAGGCGCATGTGGTCTACCAACCTCAGCAGAATGATATCGGCACTGCTCCCTTCTCCAATGTTTGGCTGCCGGATACGGGAGCTAACACTCATGCAACCCCCAACGCTGATGGCCTAGTCGGAGTCGAACCGTATGCTGGTGGTGAGTCGCTCCATGTCGGAGATGGGTCAGGTTTGCTCATTAAAAACACTGGTTCTGTTTCGTTTAAATCTCAGTCTCGGTCACTGTTACTAAATCAAGTGCTGCATGTTCCTAAATTGCGTGCGTCACTTCTTTCTGTTCAAAAATTTACTCAAGATAATGACGTATTTTTTGAATTTCACCCCGATTATTTTGTTGTGAAGGACCGTTCCACCCAGCAAACACTTCTTAGGGGTCCTAGCACACAAGCGACGTACTCGTTGAATCTCTCCAAACCGGCAGCTTTTGTGTCAGCCAAAGCTTCTCCAGAGATTTGGCATGAACGCCTTGGGCATCCACACTCCCGTGTGTTAAAACAAATTCTATCTTCCTGTCCAGTTGTAGGGTCTTTTCAATCTTTAAATAAATTGTGTACTGCGTGTCAGATGGGCAAGTCTGCGCGCTTCCCGTTGTCACGACTGGAAAAATCGAGTACCAAGTTTCTAGAGTTAATTTTTCAAGATATATGGGGTCCAGCACTGGTTCCGTCTGTAGATGGGCACAAATACTTCGTGCTCTTCATAGACAATTTTTCTAGATTTATGTGGATATATCCTATGCATCTTAAATCAGATTTGTACTCAATATTTGCTAGGTTCCGTGCCTTGGTGGAAAAACAGTTCTCCACCTCGATTAAATGTGTCCAATCAGACATGGGGGGTGAGTATCTCAAGTTAAGTACGGCTCTTGCCGCCGCAGGTATAAATCATAGAAAGTCATGTCCACATACCCACTGATACTGCTAATTATACGTAAGCAATATGAAATAACTCGAGACCAATTAAAGCAAGTAAACGTCTTTATTGATCACGGTAGAGGCCCTAAGTACAATCTACTTGGTTGCCCTGAGTACCGACTGACTGCGGTCGGGATTCTCTAACAACAACCTATCGATCGTCCAAAAGTCCACTACACTGTAGCTACTGGGGGTATTTATAGCCGCTATGCCGGGGACAGGATTCCAGTCGTTCGGCATGTTCTCCACGTAGCCACCACGTGTCATCCTCCCGGGTGCCCTGTCTGTCGTCGTAGAGAGTCGCCACGTGTCTTTCGTCAGCTCTCTCGCC